ATGTCCAAGATTCCAATGAAATTCATTCATACCAAAAATCAGGAAGATCTCACACTGAATGTAAAAAGACAATCAATAGATGCCAACATCAAGGTGACAGAGATGTTAAAATTATCCAATAAAAATACCCTATGCATGTGCAATTTAAAGCAGAAATGACAAAAATGCTTCAACAGGCAATTTTGACTATGCTTGAAACAAAGGAGCTTATATTACTACTTAGTAAAAAATTTCATTAAGGAAGTTCTGTTCACAAGCAGTATTTAATAATTTTAAGTCTGCATGCAACTTATAACATAGCCTCCAAATAGGTAAGGTCAACGACAGAACTAGCAGAGAAATAGACAAATTCGCAATCATAGTGAGTGATGTTTTCCATGAGCTTCATAGTAATTGATGGGAAAAAATAATAAAAATTGGAAAAGCATAATTAAAAATTCTAATTTAATGGGTGTACTATGTTATATATACTATCACAAACAACTGCAGTTGAATACTCATTATTTTTAAGAATACAGAGAATATATGGGATGCCTGGCTGGCTCAGTCGGAAGAGCATGTGACTCTTGATCTTGGGGTCATGAGTTCAAGCCCCACATGGGGTGTAAAAATTACTTAAATAAATAAAAAAACTTAAAAAAATATTTTAAAAAAGAAGAATACAGAGAATATTTTTACAAAAATTGCCCACATATTAGGCCATAAAGCAAGTTTCAACAAATTTCAAAGGATTTAAGTTGCAAGAGCATATCGTCTAACCACAATGCAATCAAGCACTTAAGAAAATAATAACAAAGGTATAACTAGAAAATTTCTTATGTTTGTTTGGAAATTAAGAAACATACTTCCGGGTGATTCATGGGTTAAAGAAGAAATCACAATAGAAATTAGAAAATACTTTGAACTTAACAGTGAAAATACTAAATATCAAAACTTAATGAATGTAGCTATTTAAAGGAAAATAAATAGCCTTAAATGCATTTAGGAATGAAGGTTGAAATGAGATTTTTTAAAGATTTTATTTATTTATTTGAGAGAGAGAGAGAGAACACATGAGAGGGGGGGAGAGTCAGAGGGAGAAGCAGACTCCCTGCTGAGCAGGGAGCCCGATGCGGGACTCGATCCCGGGACTCCAGGATCATGACCTGAGCCGAAGGCAGTCGCTTAACCAACTGAGCCACCCAGGCGCCCGAAAAGAGATTTTTTAAAAATTAATCTCAGGAAATTAGAAAAAGAATAGCAAAATAAACTCAAAGAAAGTGCAAGTAAGAGCGAAACAGGAGCCTCCGTACTTAAAAGGCAGTGGAAATAATATGCAAGGTTCTGCTTTTTTTTGTTTTGTTTTGCCTTGCTTTGTTTGAAGGGGTTATTCTAGGAGGACTTCCTAAGGAAATGTACCTGAACATTTTATAAATCCTTGCCAGCACAATGACTTTTTTCTTTTTGTAATAAATTGTGGTGTAAAACATACACAACATAAAATTTATTATTTTAACCCTTTTAAGTGTGCAATTCAATGCCATTAAGTACATTGACAATGTTATGCAATCATTACCACTGTCTATTTCTAGAACTTTTTTATCATCTCAAAGAGACTCTACCCATGAAACAATAACCACTCAATCCCCTCTCCTCTCAGCCCCTGGTAACCTCTATTTTACTTTCTGTTTCTCTGAATATGCTTTTTCCAGGTACCTCATATAAGTGGAATCATATAATATTTGTCCTTTTGTTTCTGGCTTCTCTCAGTATGTTTTCAAGGTTTGTCCATAATGTAGCGTATGTCAGAATTTCACTCCTTTTTTATGGCAGAACAATAATTCATTGTATGAACATACCACATTTTGTTTTTTAGTAGCATATTAGTCCTCCTCATCATTTCTACTATCTTATAACAATATTATTGTTTACTAAGAGCTTATATAAGCTCTTGGGTGTTTTTTGTTTTTTTGTGGGTTTTTTTTTTGTAATACTCCAAGCAATAAATCACAAGTTCTTGTAGTGAATTAGACCTGTTATCACTTGGTTTATAGAGAACATAAAGGAAAAAATGGATTTTACACTGTAGTTTTTCCCCAAATAAATTTCTATCCGGTTTATATTCTCTCTCTTTTTTTTTTAATGATTTTATTTATTTATTGTCAGAGAGAGCACAAGCAGGAGGATTGGCAGGGAGAGATATGCTGAGCAAGGAGCCGGATGCAGGACTCGATCCCAGGACCTTGGGATCGTGACCTGAGCTGAAGGCAGCCACTTAACCTACTGAGCCACCCGGGGATCCCTATAATCTCTTTTCATTAAACCAAGATTCTCTATTTGTTTTAAGATTGACTTCTACTATATATTTCTCTCAGCTGGGCCAATATGGAAGAGTAATGCGAGCATATGTGAATAGGCAAAATATCATTTAAATAAATATGAAACAACCTTTCCTTACAAGGGAAACTTCATATGCCCACCAAAAAGTTCCAGGGAAACCAGCCACAGCATATATTTATTGGGCTGATGTTTTGTTACATGTGAAAAGTCTTTTGAATAAATGAGACATTTTAAATATTTTCTCATCCAATCTGGTATTTAGTTCCCTATGAATTTTAGTTTATGTTCAATTTCAAATTAATCTGTTCTTGTTCAATTTCAAATTTGGACTATTTATCTCTTTGGTGTTCCTTCCTCTCCAAGAAAAATAAAATTAAGGGTGAGAAAGGGAAAAAAATTAAATTAAATCTGGCCAATTTAGTTGCTTATTAATAATGCTATTACATATTAAAGTATGATAAATTACTGGCCAAAAAATAAGGTTTGTGGTTAAAAAAAAGTGTACCTACAAAGTTCCCTGAGAACCTTTAACTTGTTTCATTATGTGAGCCTTCACTCTTCGTATTTTGTATATTTTCTGCTACATGAAGATACTATTTTTAGCACCCATTTTTCTCAGCTTCCCTATTTATATTTTGGTATCTACATATACCAAATCACTTTGGATTCCCAGCATGGAGAAAACACTGCAGATTTACCTTCTCCTCAAATGTAAAACATGAATATAAAAGGGAAAAAATACCAACAGCATAAATCCTCAAAGAGTACTTTTCCTTACATCTATAAATATCTCACAGAAATTAAAAACTTCTGGGAACTTAAAATTGGTCAAGGAAATAGATGTTTTAATTCTCCTAAGTATAGCACAGAGCATAAAGTTTGGTACCAACAACAACTTCAAAAAGATTATCTGACTATATCGTTAGAATATTTGAAGAAAAAATATTCTTCTCTTTTAAATATTTATTTATTTGAGAGAGAGAGAGAACACACAAATGTGAGCTGGGAGGAGTTGCAAAGGGAGAGGGAGAGAATTTCCAGCAACTTTCCACTGAGTGCAGCGCTGGCGGGGGCTCAAACCCAGGACCCTGAGATCATGACCTGAGCTGAGTCCACGCTCAACCGACTAGGCCACCCAGGGCATCCCATTACTACTTCTTCATAAGAATTTTTGAGGTTTTTAGGTATTAAAAAATAATACAACTTTATCCCTTCTTCAGTTATATTGTTATTGACTGGGAAAAATTATGTAACTAAGAATTACGAGAATTATATTTTGGCACATACGCTTCTTTTTGGTACTTCATTTTCCTTTGTGTTATAGGTATTTGTGTATGTACTATATGCCCAACTAGATTATAAATGGCTTATAAGCAAGAAACATAGCCTATTTCATGACTGCATTACCCATCATGCCTAATGTAGCACTTTGCACATAGTAGGTCTCAAATATTGGTAGAATATAGAATTATTGAATAATTGTGTAAAAAATTATTTAACTTAACAGTGAAAAAGGTTACTTTATTCTCAATCAGACTGTAATGAAGACTATTTCAAACTCTATGGAGTGATGATACACACAAATATTTAAACTATTTATGTGCCTCAACTTGACATAATTTTATGATAACTTGATGGCAATCACATTTAAATATATTAGAATATTTTTGTAATAATGCTACTCTAGAATAACAACTTTAATAGCTGAGAAAACATGTTAAAGACCATTAACCTGAAAGAAACAGGAACATTAAACATTTTTTTCAGAAATCAATGTATAAGGTTAAACATTCCACTATAGTATTTATGAGCAAATCTCAAATTATAATTTATAAATGCAAACTATCAAATGTTTCAGCTAGACAATAATTTAGACTATATTTTATAATTTCTCCTGTGTACACATTGCTGAATACTATATAAAAAACATTCTTTTCTTCTTTAGTGTCTTTGACTGTAACTATCTAATATCAAAATGAATTTTGCTTGAATGCAAGACCATGGCAATGCTATAAAAGCCCTTAATTATCAATCAATATGATATTAATCAGTAAACACAAGTAAGTGATTTTCTTTACCTTTAGGACAGCAATGAATGGAACGAAGTTAGCTCTTTGGAGTCCATTTTTATAGAGATCTGAAAGAAAAAATTGCTATTAGCTTTTTACTTAGCCTAAATCTAATGTTAGCTCATATCTCAGTCTGGAAAATAAAGCTTTCTATTTATAAAAAAGATAAACACGCAAAAGAAAAATAACCAAAATTGATTTCTATTCTGGTACTATACAAAATTCATTATATTCTAAATAAGAGGAAGAATTGACAAAATTATGAAAGAAAATCAAAAGACATCCAATCAAATTGGCTTTACACTATAGTAAAAAGCAATAAAAGAATTTGGAAGATATCACAAATAATCCTAAGTCAATAACTCAACATATATTTTTTTTTAAGTATTTAATATTTCAACATATAGAATTTTACTGGGAAAGGGATTATATTGCCCTTTATCTCAATCTATAGTAAAAATTGTCAGTACACAATTAAAAGTGTGTAACAAGATTAGCCTTTTAAGAAAACACATCGAAAGACAGAACTGTGCATGTATTTGTATCAAGACTACATATTTAACATTAAGGTAAATGACACTAAGGCCACTTTACTTTAAAAGAAATTACCTAAGCTTTGCACAGTGGCAGTATCATAGCCAATGAGGTTTATCCGAGGCGCGATTATTGCTAATTAAAAGAAATTACCACAAAATTAAAATTCCATTCTCAAAAGACTATAAATTTAATGCAGTTATAAAATAATAAACAGCTAGTATTTTTGGCCTTAGAATGGTGGTTTTTATATATGCATGTGTCACAGTGCATGTATGTTCAGACATATCTACACACATGAAACTGTCCAGGGCAAATAAGTGGAAAGGGGTAACAAATTTTAAGCTTTGCATATTTTTCTTTATTCTTCCTTTTTTCTTTCTTTCTAAAAAAAGAAGACTTGGAACTTTATTAAAGAGAATGAAATGTTATTGCATATAAAGCATTCCTTTTAAAAGTAAAATCTAAAGTAATGAGATTTTTTTTAAAGTATAAAAATGGGAACAGTAAAAAGTTTTTTCAATAATAAAACCCATGAATGAGGTTGTGTGTCTTAATTTTCCTCTAAATATGCTTTATAGGGTCCTTTCTATACTTCCTTGTTTAGAGAAAATTTGGTAACTGAGATAGACTTCAACTGTCACTTTTACTTACGGAAATAAAATATGGTCATTAGGAAACATTTATTCTCTTTAGAAAATATTCATCATAACGTCATTATAGTGTAGAAAGTATTTGCAAAGCTCTTTGGTTAATTAAGGATAAGAGGCTTTAATTCAGTTACATTTAATATTCTTATTTAAGGATATTATAGGTAAGATAATATTGGCCAGGCTGTTGGAATCTTCAAATTCAAAGTGAGATCCTTCCTTTCCTATAATCAATACCTTAAATGAGTAAAATAGGTAAAATGCAGGAAATGGGTTATTAAGTTAGGTATTTTCAGAATCTTCCCTAATTATCAAGTTGTTGGGGAAGGTGCATAAAAACACTGCTGTATGATAAGAGTTGACAGCCATGACTACCAATAAGTGGTAAAATTTGAAAATAAAATAATCTTATTTTATTTATTTATTTTTTAAGTAGGCTCCATGCCCAACGTGGGGCTTGAACTCATGACCCCAAGATCAACAGTCACATGCTTCACTGACTGAGCTCCAGTGACTGAGCCAGGTGTCCCAAAAAATAAGATAATTTAAATACACTCAATGTTTACAGCAGCTTTATCTGGAATAGCCAAAAACTGGAAGCAATCCAAATGTCCATCATTAGGTGAGTGGATAAGCAAACTGTGATATTTCTGTACAATGAAATACTACTTAGCAATAAAAAGTAGAAACCATACACACAACAAAATAGATGAATCTCAAAATAATTACGCAGAGTAAGAGGCCAGACCAAAAAAAAAAAGGTATATACTGTGTGATTCCATTTATATAAAACTCTAAAAAAAGCAAATTAAAGCTACAGTAATAGAAAGCTAATCAGTGGTTGCCCAGAGAAGGGGCCAGCAGGACAACAATGACCGGGAGAGATGAAAACAGGGAAAGAGGAGTTTTGAGTGTGACAGAAATATTCATTATATTGATTGCAGTGGTAATTTCACAGATGTATGCACATGCCAATATTTTATAAATTGTACCCTTTAAATATGTGTCATTTATTGTATATCAATTATAACTCAATAAGTTCTTTTAAAATTTATTGGGAAAAATACCAAAGTGAATATTGAAGAACACAATGTTATAGAACTAACACTGAGATATTACACAAATGAAAGTTTATCTATGTTAAGGTAACTTTTTGGTCTCACTTACAGAATAGTATCTTTGTTATGAACACAAAAGGCTCTGAGACATAACTTAACAAGTGTGTACCTTTCAGTAGGTTCATGACAATGAAAGGTATAAAAACGCCCACTTGTAATATTCTTGATTGAAAGTTTCCACTCGTCAGCAAAGGTAAAATCAAATAATACCTTTCAGTCTTCAAGAGTTAAATTTTTAAAGGGTTAACTTTAAAAACACTCTGCCTTTATAAGGATATATAATCCAAACTTTATGCTCTGAAAAGTATTTTCTAAATAGAATTCCAAACAAAATTCATTTGGCTTGAAAACCTTTAGGTTTTTATAGGACACTTAAGTGAAAAAGAACTGTACTCATTAAATTGAAGAGTTTTTTGCAATTCAAATATTATGCTAATTATCAATGCAATAGATCTATCTCCTGAAATGTTACTTAGCTACCATTTTTTTCATACTAGTTGTTTAATATTATTTCTCTCAGACATAAAGATTTTATAATACATTTGTATCAACATTTGTCATTGTTTACTAAATACTATTTAAAAATTCAGCAGAAGTTCTTGCCTACAATTTTTTAATGATCTCTAAACAGAGTTAAATGAGACTTGGTCATATAAGAGAGAGTACTGAAATTATGGCACATTCATTTTTCAAGACTGGTAATAAGGACCTCTACATTCTCCACAGTGAATAACTATAATAATACTTACAGACAAAATACATGCAAAGAGGATTTTTAAAGCAATTACAAGGATCTAAATACTTTGGAGATGTACATGGATATACAGATTTTTTCCTTAAAAATCCAAGCATCGCAGAAGAGGTTATATACAAACCTAATGGTAACCATATATCAAAAACCACTAATAAATATGCAAAGAATAAAGAGAAAGAAATCCAAACATATCACTAAACAATTCAGCAAAACATGAAAGAAAGACAAGTAAGGATCAGAGAACGAACATCTTTAGAAACAACTACAAAAAAAATAATAAATTGACAATAAATACATATCTATCAATAATTACTTTGAATGTAAATGGACTAAATGCTCCAATCAAAAGACATAGGGTGACAGAGTGGATAAAAAAATAAGACCCATCTATACGCTGCCTACAAGAGACTCATTTCAGACCAAAAGACACTTGCAGATTGGAAGTGAGGGGATGGAGAAACATCTATCATGCAAATGGTTGGCAAAAGCAAGCCAGAGTAAAAATACTTACACTGCACAAAATAGGCTTTAAAACAAAGACTGTAACAAAGACAAAGAAGGACACTATATACTAATAAAGGGGACAATCAAACAAGTATAACAATTGTAAATATTTATGCACCCAACATAGGAGCACCCAAATACATAAAACAGTTAATAATAAATATAATAATAATAACAAAAATGAAGGGGGGCACCTGGGTGGCTCAGTCATTAAGCATCAGCTCAGGTCATGATCCCAGGGTCCTGGGATCGAGTCCCACATAGGGCT